ATGCCGGTGAGGTCAGTCAGGGTAAATAATGTAAGAGCTGGGGACTGGGATGTAGGTGTGACAAGGTGTAAACAATTGGGATGACAGCAAAAGGAAATTTTGCCTACTTGTTTTTGAAGACATTGTTGGAAAAGACTAATACTGTCAGAGTAAGGGGATGTAAGTGGAATCATAAAGAATTAACCCACTTGGCAGGGCCAAAAAATGTACTCTGAAGGTTTGTAGAGGTGGAACCAGTAGAAGGATGAGGGTGGGAGGAAGATGGGGTAGTGTGCAGTGAGGTAGTACTGTAGGGAAGACAATTATAAGGATAAAGACTAGTGATACGGAGGGAGGGGATAGACAATGAAGACTGTACATTAGGAGATGGAGAGAGGAAGGGCTGCCATCTGCAGGTTAAGTAATGACCTGGGTTGGTGGTTCAGAATCGACAGAGTTGTCACTAAACAATGAGGTGGGGAATATTAATATCAGTGGTGGAATCCATGTTCAAAGAGGAGGCAGGGATTGAGAAACCAATGAAATCAAATTTAGATAGGCAAGGTGAAGATAAGGCTATCACACTTTGGGAAGTGGACAGAAGAAGGGGAAGAACAAAAGACCATGCAAAATTAGTTAAGATGAGGTCCAAGGTAGGGGTGATCTCCTACCTTGGGCGTTAGTCACGGTCTCATAATTTCCCCGCAAGAATGAGCAGGGGATTGGGGGTGACAGACTCATAAACACACACATGGGTTGTAAGTAATATATGAACATATAACTTTATTCAAAATATTATGTACACTGTTATTATGTATCCTTTCAAAATATCGCATTTTTACACCTAGAAAAACAAGGAAAATAGTAATCTCTATCTTGAAGATTATATATTTAAAGCACTAAAATGACAGATGAAATAAAATTCCATGGTTCCATCATGTGAATGGACATAATATAATAAATAATCAATAAAACATTTCACGTATGTTAGTTGTCTAAGAAATCAATCGTGTATCACTACTAAAATTGCTTATCAACATATCTCATATATATTCTAAAATGCAAAAATAGGTATATTATCATCTTGCACCCACTGATACATTCAAATTTACATATACCTACAATTTTAATAACTGAATATAGCCTTACTGTAACTATCCAAATAATTACCTGGTACTTTTTCCATAAATACTGGCATCTGATCAGTGTGTGGTAAGATTAATTATTGAGCTACTGGCTTTGGAGGTCGAAGCACATTTGGCTTGTTCGTAGTGGGAGGCATTATTCCAGAAACCCTTTTCACTGCCACAGGCTTAATATTTGATGGAGGTCGTAATCCAGGCAGCTTGGAAATTGCACTGGTCCCAGATGATGTAATCTTGATTTGGGCGGAAGGGGGTTGAAGACCTGAAGCCATTTGTGGCCTTGCCAGTTTACTTGTAAATCTGGAAGAATGGGATCCCACAGTTATCTTTTGGGTAGACTGTGGGAGCTTTTGGGGTTGTCTGAGTTCAGCTTTTGGTGGACTTTTGAGGGGAGAAGATGGCTTCATTCTTTTATTTGGTGGTCTTAATCTTCCTTGGTTAACGGTTTTGCTATCTAAATATTGTCCATCTGTGCTATTAGACTGGATTGATTTAGTCCTTGCTTTTAATGGTTCTCCAGGATCTTTATTTTTTAAAGCTCCAGTGTCAGCTCTGAGAGGTGCATTTTTAGTAAAAGCTAGTCCATTTTTCAGTTTCTCAGGCGGAACAACAATGCTTTTCCTGATCTGAATGTTTGAGGAGCCAAGGACTGTTCGTTTTGGTGGATTTATTCCTTTTGTCAAAGATAACTTACTCTTGATCTGGGATTCAGGCTGTTTGGTATTTCCATGAACTTGTTTGCCAGGGGCATTCTCTTTATTTGACCTTGTAATGCTGTTATTTGATTTCTGAGATGGACTGGAATGAGGTAAACTTCTGTGTATTCCTAAAGCAGGTTTTATCCTGGCTTGTGGGTTTTTGCTATCTGTTGCAGTAGGTCCGGATGACTGACCACCACCTTTTTTTAGTGATGTTTTTGGGTCTGCCTTTGAGAAGCTTGTATTACTACAAGTACTACTTCTACTATTATCTAATTTCTTTGTAGCTTTAACATTGGGTTTTGTAGATGACACAGGTGTTAGTACCTTTCTTGTATGTGTAAATGATCTTTTCAATTTAATCTGTCTGCTGGATTCTGTGTTCATCTCGCTACTAGTATGTGACTCTCCTTCAGTGTTACAAGACTCATTACTTTCAGCACTGTTATTTCGTTTGGGTCTAGGGTTTTCTTTTGCCTGGCTATTGTTAAGGTTTTTCTCTGCATAAATTTCCTTCCCTGGCCCTTCTGAGAGGTTCTTTTTATCTTCTGGAATGTTTTCTTGCTGAATATGAATGTCTTCAGTTTTTATTTTAGACTCTGACTGTTCAGCTTCAAAAGTATTATTCAGGCAAACTTCATTTTGGATGACTTGTGGCACAATGCTATGCTTTGGGTTCTTTTCACTGATACTAACAAGTAAATCACGATCACAGGCATTGGAAGCTTCATAATTTTCCTTTACTTCAATATTACTATTAGACTGGCTTTGTGTAATGACAGCAGTATCTGTCTGTTTTTCACAATCAGTTTTTGCTTCATGGTCAGCAATGTTAATTAGAGGCTGTGTTGTGTTATTCCTGATCTCAGACTGATGCACGTTTGCAGATGGTATTTTTTCAGTAAGAACATCTTCAGGCTCTTCTACATTAATCATATTCTCATTGTTTGTAGCGTGACTTCCATCATCATTTACATCATCATTTACTTCTGTTGAAGGGTGTATATCTAATGTTCTGTTTAGTATTTCTTGACAATCTTTCTTCAGGTCTTTGCTTATTTCCTTTCTTCCTGTTTCATCAGGTAAGCCATCACATGCTTGCTGGGAATTTTCTTGTGCTGTAGGTAACTGTTTATTTATGGCACCTTGCATATTACCATCTTGGTTGTGTCTTGTACTGTCCACAGTCTCTTTCTCCTCCATCTCTTTTCCTGCATCAATTAAATCGTCATTCTGTAACTGAGGCTCAGAGTTTTTATCTTGTATATCACCTTCAATAGCATCAACCATAAGGTTATCTCCATATTGATGACTGAGTGGAAGAGCTTGTCTGGATCTTCCTGAGTGATGATTTGCTGGAGTGCCAATGCCGCCCTTACTGTCTTTGGTGGATTCATGTGATAGTCCAGGCCACTTCGGATCTGTAAGATTACACAAAAGAATATAAAAGTGTATGTACACAATAAATGTAATCTAATTATGAATTCAGTGTTCAATACTAAGAACAAATTCCCACACTCTTAAAGCTATCAGTCACTGACCTTGACTAACTTCTGGCAATGACCCCGTGCTGGAAACGCTAACAACTCTCTGAAGCCGTGAAATTGGAGCAATGATGGGTGTTGGAGCAGGCCCATCCATGCCCATCATTCTACAGAAAACTCCACCTCTCATTGCTGGAGTACTAGTAATTCGAGGCCCACTGCCAGGATCACCAGGCCTTAAATAAATGAAAATAAATGAATAATATTAATAATGATAAAAGAATAACAATAATAATCATAATTACAATAGTAATAATAATAAATAATAAAAAACTAATAACACTGAAAAAAAAAAAAAAAAAAAAAAAAAAAAAAAATACTAAATGCACTAATACTAATACCATCAATACTAATATAATAACTACTATTACCTAAAAGCAGCAAGAAAAAGAAAGTTACATTGCATTTCTGAAAATGTTCCATTTGAGTTTTTTTCAAACTAAACATAAAATGCAGCTTGATTGACATGAAATTAAATATCAAAGTCTTTAGTAAGCACAGTTTACAGATACTAAATGATAAAATATACAAAAAGATCAACAAGATATACAGGAAAATTAAGATTTCTATTAGCTGTTATATATATATATATATATATAATATATATATATTATATATATATATATATATATATAATATAATATATATTAAAATATACATGTATATGTATATATATACACATGTACATACATACATACATACATATATAATATATATATATATATATATATATATATATATATATATATATATATATATATATATATATATATACATGTTTGTCAAAGAGATTATTGATGCCTGAACAAAGTGAAATGACGCTCGGGCGTACGGATACTTCAACAACAATTTTTTTTCTTCATAACTAATAATGTAAAATGTATTTATTGCCTTATGGTCTAGTAAATGTATGCCCATGTGCTACAAAAAGAAATATTCAAAACTGCAGCAAATGTTATTCAGAAAATGCAGAAAATGCGTATCACACAGGGGATGGAAATGATTTCATAAGTGAAAGGGTTAAACAGCCGGAGAGAAGTAGCAGCAGCTTTGGAAATTCAACACAATTGTGACCTGTGGCATATTTCCCAGTTAGGCAGGTATTGCACTCTTACGGTAAGTCAGAACGCATACCTGAAAACATCTGGGGTTGATGTTCGATGATCCATTGCTATCCCTATATCTGGTGTGCATGGTCTTTCATTTTCTGGAATGATGGGAATAAAGATGGAATGAAAGTCCTGTATTCCTAGTTCTGATTTCTTCAAAAAAATAAAAATTATAAAAGAATAAACCTCTAATGATGCAGGGAAAGTTAGTATGATTTAAGGGGAGAAAACATCATGAACTCAAAAGAGAGAAGAAAAAAATGAACACAAAAATGAATAAATAAATATAAATAAAAAATAAGAAGGAAAAAAAGGGCAAGAAACATCATGACTCTGAGAGAGAGAGAGAGAGAGAGAGAGAAGAGAGAGAGAGAGAGAGAGAGAGAGAGAGAGAGAGAGAGAGAGAGAGAGAGAGAGAGAGAGAGAGAGAGAGAGAGAGAGAGAGAGAGAGAGAGAGAGAGAGAGAGAGAGAGAGAGAGAGAGAGAGAGAGAGAGAGAGAGAGAGAGAGAGAGAGAGAGAAGAGGGGGGGGGGGGGGGGTATACGAGTAATGGTTTTCTTTATATTCAAATAACTGGAAAGCGAAATCACTTACCAATGCTACTTAGGGATCCGAAAGTGGGTTTTGCCTCTTTTACAGCAGGAGTGTTATAGTCAAGGGCTGTAATGCCTTCATCATCTATAAGGATCAAAGAAAGGAACATCAGGAAAGGTGGGATGTGTGTCTCCAGTTTTGAGTCCTTCTACTGAATACATATCCACAGTCTAAAGAATAAATGTGGATTTTGAATGGAAATATTCCAATTCAAATCAATTAAAAAAATTCAAGAACAAACTTAGGTTCACATATCATTACACATAGTAGAACATTAAGTTTCTACTTCCAGTCTTGCAACACTAAGTTTGGGTCAATACAAATGTATTCTAAATTAACAATAAAAATAGTTATATATAAATATACACACCTGGAGTGCTTGCACTTTCCACTTGTTTCCCACAACTTTGCTGTAATGGAAATGTGTGCATTGGCAAGGCCCTCATTGGACCTGAAATACTACGCATAGCTGTAGGGGCATTGTGAAGGCGTCTCAGCTGGTGGCTCACTGCCTGCTGGTCCAAGTGTCCCATTTTGAATCCTTGGAGCAATAAAATGTGATTAAAAACCGTTCACTTTGCACTCTATGACTAATACAATAATTTGCACTCTATCACTAATACAATAAGCAAATAAAATTGTCATACATTTATGAAAAGTATTGAAGAAAGTAAACAATATAAGATAAAATATCACATATCACACAGGGTAATTCATCAAATTTCCTTTCACAGTAAAAAAAATATTTACTGCCTCGAAAAAGTAATTCTAATAATGATAAATAACAATAATAATGAAGATGATGATGATGATAATAATAATAATTGTAAACACTGATTAATAATAATAAACAATGAACAATAAATGATGAAGAATAAAAAATAATAATATAACAAGCACTAAGTAACAAGTGATAATAATACATAATAAATAATGATACAGTAATAATAATTATAGAAAAACAATATTAATTCAAATAATAATGATAACAAAACGTAACAAAACAATCACCTGGGACAGCATTTCTATTGTTCAGTCCTTGAGCGTGAGAATGTGGCTCTGCTGCTGGTTGCTGGCTATTTTCTGGGGCAGCAGCCTTGGCTTGCTCGTTCCTTAAATTCAATGACATGCGGTGAAGGAATGACTGTGTAGGATCTTTCGTAATCTGAAATGGAAATATGGTATCTGAATACAGTCAATGAGCTATAAAATCATATTTTTTAGAAGTATTCATGAGCTGTAAAATTATTATACTGAGTAAAGGTGTAGATAAATATAGGACACAAAATAAATGATAGTAATGAGAACATCATTCAATCAAAAATCCAAATTGGGTGCTCTATGTTCAAGGTAGCTTCTGCCCAGAACACAGAAGGGTAACAAAGAAACGAATTAACCCTTTTGATTCCCCTTCAGACATGGATCCAGCACAGACTACATGGCATCCAAACTGGCAAAAACTAACAACAACCACCAACTTACCGTTCCTTTGGAAGCTATTTGCTGTGGCTTGGCTGCTCCTTTTGGTGTGGAAGCGGCCTCAGGTGTGCCTTTGCTTGATTTTTGGGGAGTGGAGTCCAGAATCAGCTTCAACACATCTCCTTCTGCATCCATCAAGTTGACAGTTTCATTCATGGAGGGAATCTTGTATTCTCCCTTTTCGAACGTTATGTTCAGATTTTCATTTTTAGCCTCAGTACCTGCCTGGAAGTCAAAGGTGGTATTTGCTTCCTGGTTTTCCTTCCTGTCAAAGGTTGTGTTTATGAGGTTGTTTTCAAGCATTTCAAATGTTGTATTTGCCGCCATTTGGTGCTCCAACCTGTCAAACGTTTTGTTGGTTGCGTCAATCAAATGCTTCTGATCAAAGGTTGCATTTGCATTTGGATTCTTGGCCAGATTCTGCTCAGCAGGAAGTTGTTCTCTATCGAAAGTAGAGTTCAAGAGTTTCTGGTTGTTACTCTGCACGAAAGTAGAGTCGACTGCCCTAGGTTTTACATCACCAACTTTTCCTAAGGCAGTGGCAGCAGGTCCACTAACAATATCCTGAGTCTCATTCAGCAGTCGGGCAAGTCGATCGTATGTACAATCAACTGCTTTCACTGAGACTGGTAGAGCCTTATCCTTCAGGGGAAAAATAAGGATAAACTATTAATTCCCACACAATTTTTTCTAGATAATACTGTGCAGTATGTCTTTTTAAACTACAAAGTCAAACAAGCAAATCAGAAAAAAAGTACTTTAAAAACTGTTAAGAAAAGGATGAATCAAAGGAAACAAGGCTCGTTCTTCTCCTTCCCTCTCTTAAGGATACAAACAAATATACATGCATATATACACACACATCCTATACACTATATCTTAATCTATTTCCTAACCTTCTCTTCATGATCTGGCAATGGAGAAGGCTCAACAGATAATACTGGTATCTTCACAGGTGAATTAGCAATTGCTAAAGATGAGAGGAGACTGTCATTCATGTTTTCCACATCTGAAAAAAAAAAAGTAAATAAGTAAATAAAAACAAAATAAAGAAAATTGATAGAGGCACTGGCTTAGAACAATCGTTCTTGAGGATGAATCCTGAAACATCAGAGTATTCAGATCAGCCAAATAAAAAACCCACCTAAGAGATCCATATCTGGTCCTAATGTCATTCTCCTATCTGGGGATACCTGTCGCTCAGGAGAGGCAAGGGGTGATGAGGTCATGTTGGCTGCTAATCCGTCCAGCTCTTCAACAATGCCACATGCCTCAGCTAAGAATGCCCCCGAGAACGACTTAGTTTGGTCTAGGGTCATTCTTCGTGCATCCTTTTGCAAGGTCTGTGAAGAGTAGTAATGATATATACATACATACAACATCACTACTGTCATCATCATCATAATAATAATAGTTAAAGAAGACACATCATTGTTATACTAATACTTACTTGTCCTACAGAGATGCTGACCAAACATTTTGAACCATTTAATGTAAAACAGTCATTGTATCTTAATGCAAAGACAACTTGACATCACCCTTAGAATATTATCTTATGTAAAGTATCTAACAATTGGAATCAACCATATATTGCTGCTACATTTGATTCAACCCTAGAAGCCACAACACATATCAAGGATAACCATATACACTGTCCTAAATTTAGAGCTATTATCATTTATTGGAAATGCTGTTGATTTCTATTTTTGCATTAATTTCTTCCTCTTTTCTAAGTAATTTTGATCACTGTTTCTCACAGTTCTCATAACTAACCTCTTTCTCATCCAGTGTTATGAGTGTGTTGACTGAGGGAGATATGGAAGGCATTGCACTCAACATGGCAATTTTGTCTGCGATATCTGTATGATAAAGAGAGAATGTTAAGGTATCATCTTAGAGAAACCACATATTCCATAGCTTTCAGAATGCATAATTAAAATATCTGTGACACCATACCATACCATTAAAGAGTCACAAAGAAAAAAACATACCATAAATGAAGTGAATAAAGAGGATGAAAATGAATATACCAACCCAGAGGAAAAAATGGAGTTAGAAGGATAATTTTCACTCACAGCCCTAAAGTTACTTGCTCATAAACAAGAGAAAAGTATTGCTGTACTAATAAACGTTATCATTTCTTAAATGGCGAACTACATAAACTGACAGTGCTTTGACCAGAAAAGTCATTGTGCCATTCATGTAAATCATATGTAACAATTTGGATTATATTCAATATTTGTATGTTTGCATTGCAAGTTGAAATACTGGCTTCCCTATGATTTTAGTGTTTGCATGAATTTATATCTAAAGCTGGCTTAAATGAATCTTAATTGTGCTTTTAACTTTAAGATTGAATATTTAGGAGTTCATCTTTGGCAATACAGCAATAATTGCTAAGACACTCTCTAAAGTAAAAGGAAATCTAATGATGGTGACCAGTGATATAAATACTAATAGCTGAATTCTAATTACCTACTCCATCATCTTAATACTGCTTCTTACCCCTACTGATATTATACACATGACAGATAAACCCATCAATCAATTGCAGATTTCAAAATGATATTACATAAAGCACTCTAAGAATGTATGACATAACAGTGATAACAAGAGATCAGAAGATAATGTAAATATGACTTCTTTTACTAATATATAGACCCACCATTTGCAAAAACACCAAAATGTCTGAATGAAACATTATTAAGTGAATAAACAAATGTAAAAGAGCCTTACTCATTCTTTATACAGAACTTGAAGGAGGATGGGCGAGTCTTTCTCTTCTATTGTAAAATGATTCTTAGATAAAGATACTACAATAAAAGCCATTCCTTACCAAATTCTTCTGTAGGAGGTGGCTTTCTGTAATTTGAAGATGATACAGAATACACATTCCCCCTCTGCTCTTTAGCCACAAAAGTGCCATTTGCAGGGCCTTCATCCTGACAATTTAACCAATATTGAAATTAATAATAATAATAATGACAAAGACATACAAATTAATATAACTGCACATTTTTGGGACATTCTATAAAAAGCATAATCACCAATGAAATAACATTTTTGTGCTTGTCTTTCTGTAAGAATGTGTATATTAGCAAAACATCAAATATAACAAATCAACAAAAAACATACCTTAAAGCTAAAACCCAACTTTACGGGGCTGTTTGGTGATATAGACACCAGAGACACTAACTCTGCACTTTCACACAAACTCAGTGAAGGCATTTCCACGTCCTCTAGCAATTCTAGTGTGCCACTGAGATGTGCAGCTGCTGATTCCATCACAACTGGATGTGGACTGTTGTTACTACTTCCTTGACTGCTGCTACCTAATGATCCTTCCAGACCTGTGAGACAAGATATTAATTTAAAAACATTGATGGAACAACAGTTTCTTACCAAGACAAAAACAAACATATACATTATGAAAAGGAATAATAATAATAATAATAATAATAATGATAAAAAAAGAGGATATTCCTTTTATCAAATCAAGCTTTCTATACAAGTTTCACAAGTCTGATTAATAAGAGAGGGGAAGGAAGGAGAAGGAGATGGAGAAGAGGAGAAAGATAAGGAGAGGAGGAGGAGGAGAGGAGAAAAGAAGAGGAGGAGGAGGAGAGGAGAGAGAGGAAGAGGAGGAGGAGAGGAGAAGTGGATAAGGAGAGGAAGCAGAGGTGGAGGAGAGGGAGAGGAGAAGAAAAATAGGAAGAGAAGGAGGAGGAGGAGAGGAAGAGAAGAAGAAAAGGAGGAGGTGGAGGAGAAGAGGAGAAGGAGAGGTGATGAAGTAGAGGAGGAGAAGGAGGGGAAGGAAGAGAGGAAGGGGAGGAGGAGGAAGTAGATAAGGAGAGGAAGAGGGGGAGGAGAGGGAGAGAAGGAGATGAAGAGAAGGAGGAAGAGAAGGAGGAGGAGGAGGAGGAGAGGAAGAGAGGAGGAGGAGAGGAAGAGAAGGAAAAGGAGGAGGAGGAGGAGGAGATGAAGAGAGGGAGGAGGAGGAGGAGGGAAAGAGAAGGAGAAGAAGAGGAAGAAGAGGAAGAGGAGAAGAGGGAGAGAAGAAGGAGTTGGAGAGGAAAAGGAGGAGAAGTTGTTGGAGAGGAGGAGGAGAAGAGGAAGAGGAAAAAGGGGAAGAAGAAGAAGAAGAATGACGAGGAGCAGGAAGACCAAGAAGAGGGAAAGAAGAGCACAAGAAAATGATGACTTTACTGCCTTAACAGCTAAAGACCAAAGAACAGTTTACACACGAATCAATCTAGCAATGGGGATGGCCTCTTCTTCCCTCATCTTTTCAATACTGCAGTTTAATTCCTCCTCTAAACGAGAACCTAGAAGTACATCGCAGCCATCTGAAAGAGAGAAGCAACAATGACAACAGGAAAAATGTTAGTATACATATATACATATATATGTATCTCTCTCTCTCTCTCTCTATATATATATATATATATGCACACACACACACACACATATACATACAAATGAATACATACATACATAAATACAAAAGTACGAACAATGACAAAGAAAATCAGATTACCTTCGTCATCTAATAGCCCAATGTCTCCTCTCTCAAATGCCGGGATGCGAAAGCTGTCAAGTCCTTCATCTGAGCTGCAGCTCCTTCCCCTTCTTCTACTCATGGTGGAAATAACCCTAAACACTGAAATATTGTATAAGAATATGGTTAATCTTTACAGTATGAATGCAATAAGTTTGGGTAAATTGAACATGATATTCTTGTAGGTGCTCCTGAATTTTAGCTTTATCTTACTGTACATACTGAGGTGAAGATAATGTTTCCTAGGATGTTGAGGGCTGAGCCCCCACCAACCCTCCCTTCGGGTAGCACCCAGTAATGGCAACATAAATTGATGAATAAATTTTCTGCTGTGGAATTGGGGACTCACAGCCAGTTCATTAAGTTTGTGTAGGGCATGACCCAATGAATATTCATATATACGGACATGCATATACACAAACATAAAGGCATATCTTTCTATCTGCCAGATTTACATTTATCTGTATCTGTTTGGTAGATATACATGTCTAGATTGATAGATATATATTTATTTCTGTCTAAGTGCATATCTGCATACTGAATATTCTTTGGGTTGGGCCTCACACAATTTTAACAAACTGGCCATTTGCCTCTGGTAACTGTACTGTGTAACTGTACTGTAAAGAATTTCCAAGAATATTAATAGCACAATAACAAAAATAACATTAGCACAAAGCTGTTAAAATTGGTATATTTCACTAGTGTGTCAAATACCTGTTATTTTACGTGTACGATGGATATACATAAATGACAATATCAAATTCATTCCCTTTATCGTTTGGATATATTATTTGCTTTATAAAAGATGGCTGGTTGAAACTTTCAATTTGCTTTTGGGTCAGGTTTAGTACTTTATCTCAAGAACGGAAAAATATATATGAGAAACAATGCCCAAATTGCCAGCTACAACATAAATCCATAAGATAAAAATCAATATCAAAACTGCTCAGATAAGGAGATAACCAGAAATATCAAACTTGTATATACATTCTATGGTAATTTTGCAGGATAGTTCTGCCAAAGGGATTGCAATAATTTTGATATCATTTGATTCCTCTCATTCTCCACTATCTAAATAGATATGAATTATTGTGCAGATACCCCCAAACCCCCACATTCTTGGCTTCATTGGCAGGGGAGGGCATGAAAGGAATCAATTACCTGATAGTCTGATGCAGTAGCCCTCCCATAAGGGCTACCGCCCCTCAACTCCCATCCAAGAAAACAAATAATCCTCCACATACTCATGGCAGGAGAGAGCGTCGGCCAGACTCACCATCTGGCCCCACGCATGTCGGCCATGCTATCTCCTGCTATGGATATGTGGAGGTTTCTTTGTGTTCTATTGCAGTGGTTGGAGGGTGGCAGCCCCCCATGGGGAGGTTTCATTAGGC